TGCGTGGCTGCGTGTCCTACACTCTCCGAATTCCTGGTGATAGAAACTTCAGCAAGTAAAGCCAGCGTGTTTTCCGGCTCCTGAATAGATTTGCTTGACTCACGAGGTTTCTGAGAAATCATCGACAGCCCAGCAACGGTTTCGCTCTTCTCAGGATCATCAGGCAGGCACAGTATCCAAGTCTCCGTAAACTTCGTGTTCCTTTCGAACCGAAATTGCATCAAATTGGACGCAAATTGCACATTAACTGTATTTTCACAGGACGATTATCGGAATTTTGATTCGTATACCGTTCATGATGTATTTCAACCTAATGTCGTTCATGGAAATATGGTGGAGCATCTCAAATGTCTTATAACATCAAACAAGAGACAGACTATGTGCCGCACCTTCAGGCAAAGAATGAGAAATTCAGCTCGGATTCAAACGAATCTCCCTCGATAGCCAAACTGACTTCAAAATAATGTTTTTTCGAATTCAACAGCAACTTCATAGGAAAGGGAATGAGGACAGCTTTCCGAAGAGTACATGCGATGAACATGAGTGATACTCTATTCGTTGCTCTATTCATTATTCTCTTGTTTTAATATTCCATATTCTGTACATATTCGCCAATTCGAATACATACCTGCTGGTTGTTACGCTGCGCTGAATTCTGGATTTCTAGTTCGTCTGTTTATACCGATATAAGTCCGAAACTTAATTCTCACATTTTGGCGTCGCGATTGGAACGATTCATCATGCCTGCCGAAATGGAGACATTAGATGTCAATTCAACGGCGCGTGACGTAGAGGATTATTTGGAACGGTTCGACATACGGTGCCTCACAAAATCCGATGTGGATGATGAGAAACTCACTGCATATTTCCTACATTTCGTTGGCATGGAGGCATATACTTTGGTCAAGAATTTAGTATATCCTGAATCTCCAATCGATATTTCTTACACTGCATTGAAGAAAAAGGTTCTTCAAACCGATTAACTTCGTAACAGCCGAAAGAGCTAGGTTCAATATGTTGACCCGCTCTCGTTCTCAGTCGGTTCGTGATTTGGTATTGCAGCTGCAGACACAGGCAGCCGTATGTGACTACGGTGCCCAATCGGAAGATCAGCTGCGTGATAGGCTCATTGCTGGCATTCAAACGCCCGAATTACGGCAGAAGTTGCTACTCTGTCCGGATCAGAAATTTCAAACTATTCGGAAAATATGTCAGCAGTATGAAGATGCGACGCATGTGACGAAGATTGAGGAAGCAATCTTGTTAACTTATTCTAAAAGAAATAATTCAAGGATGCAGACGAACAAAAAATTCAAACCTCGAACAGATTTTCGTGCCCCAAATCCATCAAAACGTCACTTCGCAGATCCTAACCCTAATCCAATGGCTCAAATTTTGGGAAATGTTAGTCTTGTGGACGAAACCATTCCGGATATTCATGCCCCCACAGACGAGCGAAGTGTTTTATCTGCGGTAAAACAGGGCACATCCAACTTGTCTGTAAGACCAAAAAAGTGTGTCACCAAACTTCCGACCGAAGTACTGATGTAAAAACATTATCGGAAGACATTTCTACCCTTTCTCTATCTGTTTTGTCCCAAAATTCGTCACATGTTTTTAAAACTTTGATATCTGCTTCAGGTCAAAAGCACGACTTGATTGTTGACACTGGTAGTGTTGAGTCCATGATTCCACAATCAGATATAACTGCATTCTACCCCAGTGCCGTGAGAGTGAATACAGATGTTAACATTCGCGGCATAACTGAACATTCTGTACCTTTAGTTGGTAGTTGCACGATCCCTGTGAGGTTATCCCAAGGTACCTCTATCGATTGTATTTTGGTTTCAATGTCGGGACCACCAATTATCGGACTCAAAGTTCTGCGCTCACTGCAGACCAGCACCACCTTACTGACTTCTGTGAACGAGAATGAACTCAAACAATTGACTCTCAAATGTTCTAAGGCTACAGGTGGCATGCAAATTCCCAAGGTGAGGCTCGAAGTTACAGGAGAGCCTATGTTTCTTAAGAGACGGATTATTCCATTTGGCTTACGCGAGTCTGTTCGCCAAGCAGTAAATTCAAAGTGTGCGAAAGGAATACTGACTCCTGTCGAGTCATCGAATTGAGCAACTCCGATAGTTACCCCACTGAAGGCTGATGGTATTACTCCGAGAATTTGTGGTGACTACCGGCTTACGCTAAATACGCGGCTACTACAACGTACATGCACCACGGAAGAGCCAGAAGATGTATTGTATCGTTTATCAGGTTCAAGTGTGTTTTCAAAAATCGATTTAAAAGATGCTTATCTTCAAATACCACTGGACGAAGCCTCCAGTAACCTTACCGTGATCAACACACCCTTTGGGTTATTCCGATACAATTTTCTTCCCTTTGGTCTGAACGTTTCACCAGCTGTATTTCAGCAAGTTATGAATACTATTGCAAAAGATTTGGAGGGTGTTGAGACGTACCAAGATGACGTCATTGTGCACGCTGCTGACAAAGCTACCCATGATATGCGTCTGTTGTCTTTACTGAAGAGATTTTCTGAGTTCAATGTAGCTATTCATCCTGAAAAATGCACTTTTGGTGTCCCATCATTTTCATGCCTTGGCTACATTGTGGATGGCAGCGGTTTTAAACCTGATACAAGACGTCTATCCCCTTTAGTAAATGCGCCATCACCGACCAATCTACAAGAACTGCGTTCAGTTCTAGGAGCACTTCAGTATTACTCTCGTTTCATTCCTAATTTCGCCAAACACGCAAGTTGTCTGTTTGATGTCATATCTTCCAATCAATTTTCTTGGTCTTCCAACCATGAGAAGGCGTTGCGTGCACTGCTTGGTTATCTTCAGACTTCAGCTGTTTTGAAGCCATTTTCCGCCAAACATCATTCGACGATCATTACTGATGCTTCTCCCACTGGAATAGGAGCAATCCTCGAACAGTGTGGTAGACCAGTGATCTGCATTTCCCGTCGACTTTCAAAAGCCGAACGTGGATATTCTCAGACTCAACGAGAAGCACTTGCTGTATATTGGGCTGTCAAACGGCTTCATAAGTATCTTTTTGGATTGAACTTTACCATTGCTACTGATCACGAGGCTTTGAAGTTCTTGTATCATCCAACGAAGTCTCTGGCGAAGTCATCTGCCGCTATGGTGCAACGGTGGATTATTGCATTGAGTTCTTACACCTACACAGTAGTTCATCGTAGTGCGAAAATGATTCCTCATGTCGATTTCTTGTCAAGAATTCTATCATGTGACTCTGATTCAAACAACTCAGATTGTCTACTGATTCAACCATTACCAGTCAAGCGGGATGTGCTTGTTGCTGACACTAAAAGATATTTCGCTCCCATTTTCTCTGCACTGCGACGTGGCTGGACGCAGCAAGAACGACGCCGATTTCCTGCTTTTTACTGTCGCCGCGAAAGCTTGTCCGTTACTCCGGATGGTTTGCTGTGTTTTGAGGATAGAGTTGTCATTCCACCGACTCAGCGAGCGGCTGTTCTTGCAGATTTACACTCTGGTCATCTGGGTGTCGATAAAATGAAATCCCTTGCACGCTTGTCATGCTGGTGGCCGGAACTGGATGCTGATATCAAGCATACTGCTAAGAATTGTGTTAAGTGTGCACATAAGATTCATAACAAGTCTTCACAGTGGCATCCGTGGCCAGTTACTTGTGAAGCATTTCAACGAGTTCATGCTGACTACTGTGGTCCTTTTCTTGGTAAATACTATGCTTTAATTCTTATTGACGCATATTCCCGTTGGCCTGAAGTTTTTCTAACTACTTCTCCAAGTGCCGAATTCACTCAGCAAGCCTTGAGGAAAGTATTCAGCCACGAAGGTGTACCAACTGTTTTGGTCACTGACAACGGCACACACTTCACTGCAAAATTCCTCGAGGAATGGTTGAAGGGTCTTGGTTGTCGACATCTGTTTACTGCTCCGCGACATCCCCAGTCGAATGGACTTGCTGAAAATTTTGTCCGAATACTTAAATCTGCTATTATTTCACTCTCTCCCACTACTTTTGTGGAATTGGACCGTGGGATTGATAATTTTCTAATGCAATACAGGAACGCCGTCCATTCCGTTACTGGGAAGAGTCCCGCGCTTCTATTTAAATCTCGTTCGTTGCGTACAAGTCTTGACTGTGCCAAAACGGCTGATGTTACATTTTTCAAGGGTAATGATTTACGACCCGCAACAGGAATAGTGCTTTCATCAAATGGCAAACGAATGGTCACAATTCTCGATTTGGATGATCTCTCTTGTCATCGGAGGCACATTGACCAGGTTGAGTTCAATACCAGAGGTCAGTCTGTTAACGGCACTCCTGCTGTTTCAAAAACTAATTAGTCCTTTGTAGATGATCTTATGGTATCTGAATAAAACTTATCTGAAGAACACACAACCTGTGAAGATTCTGAAGTTTCCATTCCGAGAAGATCCGAAAGATTGCGGTCAAGACCACCACTGGACTATAAACATCCGCACGCTAATTCAAGGTGTGGCGGATGTGATGAACATGACTGATACTCTATTCGTTGCTCTATTCATTATTCTCTTGTTTTAATATTCCATATGCTGTTCATATTTGCCAATTCGAATACATACGTGCTGGTTGTTACGCTGCGCTGATTTCTGGATTTCTAGTTCGTCTGGTTATACCGATATAAGTTCGAAACTTAATTCTCACAGTACACTTTGTGATTGAAAAACTTTTTTGATTTGATAGTGAAGTACAAATGATAAAATCAGGCCATAAGCCAACATAACTTCACTGCCACAAACTCCTTGCCTATCTAATTTTACTTGACCATTGTCTGCGTTTTCCACAGAATATTGAGTCACTCGAACTGAATTGATTTTGCGAAAACAATTACGCGATGAGGCCTTTCTATGAAGGCGAAAATACTGTGATATTTGCAGACCTTTACTAATCAGATAAAGTGATTTTGAAATACAACCTACCTTTAAAATGTACTGTTCTCCGGTGAGCCTCAGTACTCCAGATTTGTATTCAAACGCCAAGTGAGGAAGCGTCGGTATCCGATCACATTCAACGTATCGATACACTCCCTCGTGCCTCATTTCGCCAAAAACGCGAGTCAAACCCGTCAAGTGGCGGTCGTGTACAATCATGAACTGGGTGGATGTTATTGGCTCACCCAATACGGGTCCATCGAATACCACAACGTCTCCTAATTTCACACTGAAATGAAGGATAGTGAGTCAGATTCCAGTTTGGTGTATGTCATATTGAAACATGAAGTTCTTGTGTAACTGTTTATACGCAGAGCTACGGCTCCTAAACTTTTTCCAGCTTGTTCTGAGAGACCTTGCATCCTTGGTGCCAATGATCTTTGGATCAACAGACCCTCCGACGCAAGTGCCCAGCACATGGGGGTGCTTCAGTCTGAAAATTGCCTCGAGTTTCAAGCTGTGAGTTAACTTTTTTGTAGACAATACAATGTGACCTAATCGGTATTGCCTGACTGCGGGTTGTGAGTAATCTTCACTTGCTAACCGATTCAACTAGGAAGAACCTCGTTTTATTCTTCTAGGTGGGAACTAAAGGCAGCGTGCTCGCTGAACCTTGTTCTTTTGTGAGGCGGAATGATACCAGTGCAACGGCGGATACTACTGATGGGGCGCGCGAGTAGTATGGTCTCTCGTTAATCCGCTTCGCATCTCTTGAAACATGAGATCTTTTGTGGAATTTGTAGAGTCGCTTTGTAGCATTCGCTTGCATTTAAGTAAAAGTCAATAAATATCCAGGAAAAATCAGGAATACGCGTTCAAGTAGAAGATGGATATTCAGTTTTTGTAAACAGTATGAATACGAGATGTTCCCTGTCCAATGGTCTGTAGTTGTTCAGTTGGTGTCTCCTAAGAAACGACTCCGCAGCGAAGGTCTTCTTCCTTTTTTACAGTACGCCGGCAATCAAAATTGACCCTTCTTCGTCCGCAGCCACACTTGGTTCCTTGCAAAAATTATGTTGAGCATCAACTTACTCGCGGTAGTTATGCTTACTTGCTAGTCCTCTTGATCTCATCGGTAAGTGTTTTGCTGGGTATTACTACTTGCTTGTGTTGCCGGGTATCTAGACGGACTCTGTCGGTTTCCTTGTGCAATGTCCACGAGAAAACAGTCACAAATGCTAAGCGTGCGACCAGTCCTCTTGAGACAGAACAATGGCCTAACCGGGACAAAACACCTTGTACGAGAGACGAATGCATTCACCGGAACGCTAATTTAAGTAATGAAAATATGAAACACGTTGTAAACTGCAAAGTGTCGTAGATGATCTTTGAATCAACTCATTGATTGTGGGACGGCTTCATCCAGTGGGAATTCACAAAGATAGCCAGCTGGCAAACTTCAATCACCTTTTTCGGCTCTTGACTTGATCAGTTTTAGCTGTCTGTCAGATACCTCCAGAAGAGAATTTAGTAAATTATCAGGTGGGTTCTCTTCCACCGCCTAACATACTAAAGTTTCCTTGTTTGCGACCCGAGCTTTTGCTTACTGAACGTGGAATTCGAGCAATGCCAATGTGTTCTTTGATCCTCTCGTGCGTATCTATTGTCTCACCAGGCACCAGCTCGGTCAACTACCCCGATATCTCTGAACCTATCTTATGCTGTGGTGAACTAATTTGTCGGTGGTCTGTTCGCTGAACTGGGCAGTTGGAGTACCTTTTACCAAGGTCCCATGGGTAGAGCCACGCAGTGAAACAATTTGACCGAAAGCGTTGGACAAATGTCGAGTCAGAATTAACAGTAAGCAAAGAATTCCCCTGGTCTTCGGTGGACGACATTCAACTTGTTTCTTAAGTCACCAAATTCATTTTGCAGAAAACCCAACAGGAGAGCCAGTGTTCTTTGAATTTTGTTTTTTCCTGGCTTATCAAGTGCAAGTACGTTGCGAAATTTCACTGGTTGAGGGATGTGGCTTGTCAGAAACCAGAAAATGCAAGTACGTTGCGAAATTTCACTGTTTGAGGGATGTAGCTTGTCAGAAACCAGAAACAAGTCCATTGCATCACCAAAATGGGACCACAACCTGTATCACTCGAGGACGCAGAATAACAATGGATAGTCACAATAAATCGTTTACAAATGCTATTCCCATTGATCTTAAATGTGAACTGATATGCCAGATAATGTTAAACAGCTCGTAATGTCCAACAGCTCGTAACATGTCACTTTGTTTTACTGCACTGTCTAATTTTTTTTAACGCAGAATGATTGCACAATCAGGTGAGTGACTTGGAAAGTGGACAGCGTATCCCTCTTCCTACAGCAACGTTATCCAAGCATGTGGAAAAAAGCAAACACAGTTTCAACTCACCGAATAAATTCAATTAACCATCTTGGCCGCGGATAAAAGGGAAAATAGTGCATTGGTTCGACAAATCCGGAAACTGGTGAGCTCCCAAAATGAAGCTCTGCAATTGGCCCTTCTTCCTGGACATCAATGTCGTTCCTGGAATAAACGGTAATGACCTAGTTATCAAAGGCATGGATACAAGGAATCGAGTAGGCAGTTGATACATTAAGCCTGGGTTGGTAATTTCCTCTCAGCGACCCAAGACTGTCCGAGTAGTGGGGAGCATTTGAGGTCCCAACATTGGTGCCCTTGCCGCAGTTCCAGCGAGTGCAAGCCAAATGACCGGAATGCCTCATAGAGTTGTTTTACCTTCGTTAAGGGGACACCTAGAAATTTCTTCGCCTAGTAGAACCCACATAATCTCAAGGGGAAGTGGAACAACGGATCACTAAATTTCCGATGGAGTGTAAACCGTACCTTGGTGAATTTGAGACACGAATTATTTTTGCAGTTTAAGTGGCTAATTCGCAGAGTGACAGACAGTCTTTGGACACAAGATCCACGTGACTGGTAATGTGTTCTGCAAATAGCAGATTAATGACGTTTTTGAATATACAAGGAGAGCGGTGAAATCCGTTTCGTCTGACATGCACCGTTCATGGTTACGAAAGGGGATGGAGGGAGTTCACGTGGAACTCGGCTTCAAAATGCATATTTGTGCTGACTGGATAACTTAACCCAAATTTAAAAAAGAACGTTATGTTAAATGACTTCAAACGAGTGTTCACCGGGAGGCAGGACAATATAGTGTCTACGGATATCAACTGCATGATATTGTGTAATATACTGGTTGAAAATGGTAAAACTTTACGTACCCAACGAACGAAAGCCAAAATATCTCATAGTAATAGGGGTAGGTCGTAGTAACTCTGTCCAGCAGGGTATGAGAAACATCTGGCGATAATGTCTTTGTACTCAGACCGATAATGCCATCGATTCCCGGGAGAACAACAATGTTTTTCACCTGCTCACACACCAGCCCGAATTCCATTAGACCAAGCCAACGACCGCCAAACTTAAATAGGTTGAGTGTTGAATGAAGCGCAGAACAAACGTACGTAAACGTAGTCAGCAAATAGTTGAACCTTGACTTGACCCGTGTGATAATTGCGTCCAAAGTGTCTATTTTGAGACTGAACCGTATGGGAAATGTCTTTGTTGAATTTGCGAGCTTTCCGCCAGTGAACGGCGTTGCAGCCGGATGAAGAAAGCATGATTAGATCAGAAGCGACATCAAGGAGCACGACAAATCGTTGCGGTGGAATTCCAACCTCGATTTCTCCAGTAAGAGGTTTCTGTTTTTAATTCGTATACGTACACGTGTACCACTTACGTGGATGCCCGAATAAGTTAGGGCTTCATCCAAACCAACGGTTGGGTAGTACAGTTCCACTCTGTCCGTATTGCGGGAAAGTGTTCAGTTTTCAACTTACTTGAATGTCAAACTATGATGTATTTGGCAGAGGCAAAACCAAAGTGCCAAACGATTCATCTTTAATGGCGTAGAGGGTAGAAAGTGTGTTTTATGCAGCGAATTTGTGTGTGAGTTTTTTCTGACCCAAAATAGCCAAGAAACTCGTCCCGTTCAGCCAACCAAGACGTACGTGCAGCTAGCGTGTGCAATTTACAACCCGTCTTGTTCTATTACTTATAACCATGCTAACCAATCTTCATTATTCAGCCATGCCGTTCCCCTTGTTTTTATTGCAAGGGATTCGTGCAAACTTACGAACTGAGCCAACGCATTCGAAATTAGCATATTATAAAGTGCTATCAAATCGAACTTACTTGGATGTAAGCGTTTAATTATTAATGGAGGTCCTTCTCAAAAACCAATAGCACAATGCGAGGCACGTGGGTTGAGTACAACTTATCTCGGTATTGGTGTGCTACCAATGACACCTAACTCTTAACGTAAGCATAGTCAAGACAACAACTGCACGACGAAAATCCATCTCTGAGACAATTTAGGCTGTAATTTTAATCCCGGACGTTGACGGTTTTGAAAAGCCAACGTATTTTTCCCAAAAAAGGGCTAATTTTCCCAAGGCGACGCCCCTAAACTAACGAAAGAAGGCTTTTTAAAGTGAAAAGAGGAACTTTCGGCGAGTAAAATTAAGCAACACGAAGACTCCGTCTTTCTGCCATTCATTGCAAAGGTATGGAACAGTGATTCCTCTCGGAATAGACATGTGTTCATAGTTCAGGGGGGAATATTGGCACTCAACCACACAAACTGTAGAATAACGGATGGTTTTTAAACGTGGTGCGTCATAATTCTCCAAAGCGAGCAGACCACTCGGGAATAGCTCAGTGCTGCAATGCAACCCCGATTATTTGGACTGGCGCAAAATGCTTGGTAGGAGCGGCTTTGTGAGGCAAAAGTCAACTCGCCTTCTAAATGTGATCTTCTGGAAGCGAGGTGATTTTGTTCAATTTTTCAATGCCTACCCGCCGAAAACGATGGTGACACAATAATTTCCTGCTGGGATAGTTGTGCAGCTTTGGTTATCCACCCCCAACTTGATGAAGTGCTGTTGGAGAACTTCGTGAAGTACTGACGTGATGATGTGCCTAGTATTTACGCGTCCAGGTTATTCAGAAGCGAGACGGCAGTGACCCCTTTCTTCCTGATATAGTTGAGGATCAAAATGTTGAGGTATGTACATTTCTATCATGTAACATAAGCACCTATTTCTGCTCGCCAGTTCGATTTCGACAGTCAAATTTATCGGCAGAGTTTGGTATGGGCCTTCCTTTGGGCCTATTTTTGGCAGATTCTTTCGTGATCATATCCGGAACCCAAAATTTAAACGAGCTGAGTCCACGCTTCGAATTGTAGAACATTTCTTGCTTGTTTGACACAGATTGACTTGACTTTATGTGAAACGGAAGTGGGCCGGCTAAAGACTTCCTGTCCATCTTTTCAGTTGAACGCTTGGTGTAATTATTGATTAGTAGGTGATACTTATCTGGAGACATCTCAAATCACTGATAAATGTTCTTAATTGTAACCTAGCCATATTCAGGTTTGTACTGGAACTCGTTCAGTCATCGAAATTCGATCCCTCTTCAAACAGGCCTCGGTCAGAATCTCATCTTCAGCTTTAGTTTTCTCGTGATTGATGATTCAGAATAAACTAGAATAGTGTATCATCTTGGAATGTACATTGATGAAATCTACAAAACTTCATTTTTCGCCTAGTGATGTGCTCTGCTTAGACAAAAAATAAATGAATTTCTTTTTGGGTGACTCCGGAGAAAAGCGCATTTTGCCTTCATATTTTATGCGTACAGAAAATTTTCAAGCGTCCACTAGAGATATTCAGGGCGGTTTTGAGAAAAGAACTTTAATGCTAATATCCACTATGAGCTAGATAAGCAGTGGGCTGTTAGAACTTGAAAAATATATTGACCACTAAAGAGTGCTATAAAAAGCTTTTATGGGGTAAACATCTCAAGGATTACTACCCTATATCACGGATGCCTAATTTTTTAGCTCCGCGCAAGCTGATGCATCCATTCGTAACGACGCTTCCGAAGGATATTCTTGGGCAACCGGGTGTAGATATTACAAGGCTCGCTCCCACGGATGATCAGGTGTGTATGAAGTCCTTATTCAAATGTGGATACTCTATAGTTTCTACCGTTGTGTGTATTCTCCCAGCAAGATTTACCCTTCAAGTAGTCTGGTCCTAAATGTTGCTGACTTTGGCGTTTCGTCGTTGCTGAACTTTGTATTTTTAGCATATCTGCCTAGTATTTACGCGTCCAGGTTATTCAGAAGCGAGACGGCAGTGACCCCTTTCTTCCTGATACAGTTGGGGATCAAAATGTTTAGGTATGTACATTTCTATCATGTAACATAAGCACCTATTTCTGCTCGCCAGTTCGATTTCGACAGTCAAATTTATCGGCAGAGTTTGGTATGGGCCTTCCTTTGGGCCTATTTTTGGCAGATTCTTTCATGATCATATCCGGAACCCAAAATTTAAACGAGCTGAGTCCACGCTTCGAATTGTAGAACATTTCTTGCTTGTTTGACACAGATTGACTTGACTTTATGTGAAACGGAAGTAGGCCGGCTAAAGACTTCCTGTCCATCTTTTCAGTTGAATGCTTGGTGTAATTATTGATTAGTAGGTGATACTTATCTGGAGACATCTCAAATCACTGATAAATGTTCTTAACTGTAACCTAGCCATATTCAGGTTTGTACTGGAACTCGTTCAGTCATCGAAATTCGATCCCTCTTCAAACAGGCCTCGGTCAGAATCTCATCTTCAGCTTTAGTTTTCTCGTGATTGATGATTCAGAATAAACTAGAATAGTGTATCATCTTGGAATGTACATTGATGAAATCTACAAAACTTCATTTTTCGCCTAGTGATGTGCTCTGCTTAGACAAAAAATAAATGAATTTCTTTTTGGGTGACTCCGGAGAAAAGCGCATTTTGCCTTCATATTTTATGCGTACAGAAAATTTTCAAGCGTCCACTAGAGATATTCAGGGCGGTTTTGAGAAAAGAACTTTAATGCTAATATCCACTATGAGCTAGATAAGCAGTGGGCTGTTAGAACTTGAAAAATATATTGACCACTAAAGAGTGCTATAAAAAGCTTTTATGGGGTAAACATCTCAAGGATTACTACCCTATATCACGGATGCCTAATTTTTTAGCTCCGCGCAAGCTGATGCATCCATTCGTAACGACGCTTCCGAAGGATATTCTTGGGCAACCGGATTTTATGGGGTAAACATCTCAAGGATTACAACTCTATATCACGGATGCCTAATTTTTTAGTTCCGCGCAAGCTGATGCATCCATTCCGCTTCCGAAGGATATTCTTGGGCAACCGGGTGTAGATATTACAAGGCTCGCTCCCACGGATGATCAGGTGTGTATGAAGTCCTTATTCAAATGTGGATACTCTATAGTTTCTACCGTTGTGTGTATTCTCCCAGCAAGATTTACCCTTCAAGTAGTCTGGTCCTAAATGTTGCTGACTTTGGCGTTTCGTCGTTGCTGAACTTTGTATTTTTAGCATATCTTGGATCTCACGTCTCTGGTTGTTTGTGAAAACCAAGTCCAGATTCTCGACTTTGTGCTTAAACTTCAATATTATTACTTCACAAGTTTGTTTATTATAGAAATTGGGCGCTCACTGAGATCAGAGGTACTCTAGGATCTAGAGTTAAGACCAAGCTGATGTTAACTGCAGGGACTTTCAGGCCCCACAGTAACCTGAATCACTGAGTAAACCAATCAAAGCATATCTGGGATCTCACGTCTCTGGTTGTTTGTGAAAACCAAGTCCAGATTCTCGACTTTGTGCTTAAACTTCAATATTATTACTTCACAAGTTTGTTTATCATAGAAATTGGGCGCTCACTGAGATCAGAGGTACTCTAGGATCTGGAGTTAAGACCAAGCTGATGTTAACTGCAGGGACTTTCAGGCCCCACAGTAACCTGAATCACTGAGTAAGCCAATCAAGGGAATAAACTCACACCAAAATGCAAGAAGAAAACGGCCGAATCACAACGGAACAACTGCACACATAACTGCGAACTGAATGCGCCCAACGAACCAACTAGACACAGGAAATTGAGACCGCGTCAGATCCACAAAAGAACAATCAAACAATGCAAAGACCGTTTCCAGAAATACCAGATACTGTTTAGAAGCTGCATAATCACAGGCAGAAGAGGAGGAATTCACCCACTCAATCCAAAACTGACGATATCACTTCGATTGGTGATGAAAAATCTGCAATCCAGCTACCAAGCGCGGTGACCAGACCAACCACCAAACTTTCAGAAGGAAATGTTTGATCAACTCCACACTGCGCACTCCACTTTCAGAAACCTCTAAGTGTGAGCGTTTCAACAGAATATCAATACTCATATTTTTCCGGGAAGGTTTTGGCGAAACATCCGAAATCGTTCCAGGCTCTCATTTGACCGCTTTACTGTAGGTCCAAGTCAAAGCCTCGTACTTCATTGTTCTTCGGCTTTCCTCTCAAATCCGATACTCTCACGGCATTCACCGTGTTTCCAAACGTTCCAACAATTTTTCATTGAACAACAAACCGGCTTTACACTCCAGAGAGTAGAAAATAAGGTGGCTTTTCATCATCCCCTTCCTTGGATCCTAACAAGCGCAAAAACTGAGGAAATTTGCCTTTCTAGGAATATTTTCTGACCTCCAGCATCTGAATAGTTCTTAACACACCTATATATTTGTAGATGCGGTTTCGTGGAATGTAATAGGGTTTTGCTCAAATTCCATAGTTTGGTCGGTAGATACATTCTAGAAACACTCTTCTGGTTACCAGTCTAATGTCTGCATCAACCAGTTGACCTTTCTGGCTTCATCAATTAACTTTGTGGTACAAACGTTTGGAAATAAAACACTCTATGAGCCATCTGGTGCTGACTCACTGGCCTGTGTTACCAGAATTCAACTCCCTCTTGGGTATTTTCTATGATTGTCATCATAACTCTTACGGGTTAGTTCCATTTTTGGTATACACATACCAGATTTTGTCTCTGTGATCAGCGACCCTTACCAAAGTCTCAATCCACGTCTTTCGCATCTAAAATCCAAGTAAAGGTTTTCTAACCAAAACTTTCTTCTGAAAAAGTAAATAACGCCAAAACGGCCCTGTGTAGACGAAGGCCACTCTGGAATTTTTATTTTTTGCTCTCGGTGCGTCGCACTGTACCAAATGGATATTTGCTCTTTCGGAAGTATTTGCACAATGGAATGGAATTTTCGAGAGCTATCACGTATCCCTGATGGACCAAAGCAATCGAAACCTGAATACAGAGTAGCAATTCAAACGTTGGAGCCCCATTTATTCATTCCGGGGTCTTAACGATGATGGAAAATTATTTCCGCCGTAGGTATGATTGCTTCAGAGGACATTGAAATTTGGTGAGCTGCAAGTATATGAACGAAGATGAGAATAGGTTTTGGTTTGAGCACATACGCAACAAAATGCAACATTCCAGCGTAAAGTGTTTTACTCCACTCCTAAAGGTTTCGCAGCTAAGAGCATTGTGCAGCCAATGGGCCCCGGAAGGCTTTTAGTTGAACCTCGTTCCTTCCAGTTGATTAATGCGCCGACTCTTCATGTACAAGCTAGACACGTAGCAAATTATTCCTTCAAAATTCCTCCACTAAGCGCTGTTGCAATCCAGAAGTTCCAAATGCTATGCTTATCCTGATTTGGATGAGTCTTACTCGAAGTACTAAGAGCCTAATGTGAGCCTAGCAATCACATTATTCGTATTAAAGTTTGTAGATCAGTCGTGCGAGATATTCAAAAGTTATTTCAAATGAATTCCCATATCTTTGCGTTTAAAAATCTGGAATTAACTGAACACCTCCCCGAAGAGTTCACAGGTGAATGTGACTTCCATAAAAACTCGATAAAAATCCACTTGGTAAGAGATGTGGCTCAAACTGGTCACCAGGTGTAGAATAGAGGTGTCAAAAAAATCCACGCACGTCACCGTCTTTTGTTTCACAACCGCAGGATTACGCCAGTATACATTCATTGTGCATGACGATTATACCGGTGTGACGGCGATACTACTAGTGGGAGTGGAATCGGAGTAGTATGTTTTCGCCTAAATCCGATTTGCGTCTCTTCAAAAGTGAGATTTATTGCGGAATTTGTGGTGTAGCATTTGTAAACTGCTCCTTTTCATGCTTAGCATTGTCTTCCTTTTCCCCATCAATATCAGTCACATCACTGTACAAAAGTTTGTTATACTGAAATACAACCGCTACCACCCGCTTTTTGGGTCCAACGTGACTTTGAAACTTTTGCTCAGTGATTGTTGTCGTGACCATCGGTTGGCTATAAGTGACTGCTACTAACACTAAACATGAACAAACATTTTAGCTACAAACACTGGACTTATATATTCACACTTGTGGATTAATATTCCGATCACCGGAGATCTGGAATAACAGGAAGATAGAGCTTTTCTTGGTGTGGTGGTTCAACGGAATACGGAACTACGGAATCTCCTATTTTGAACTGTCAGTCAAAGATTTACTTGGTTTTATCCTTGTGACTTTGTATCTGGCTTACATTGGTAATTTGTTCTGTTCGCTAGAGACTCCATAAGGCCGTTAACCACCACAGTAGAGTCGCTTTGTAGCATTCGCTTGCAATTGTGTACCAGTCAATGGATATCCAGAAAAGTTCAGAAAGACGCGTTCAAGTAGAAGATGGATATTTAGTTTTGGTAAACAAGATTCATATGAGAGTTTTGCTTCCCTTTTCAATAGTCTGTAACTGTTCAGTTGACATTTTCTAATTGATAACTCCGCAGCGAAGGCCCTCTTCCTTTTACAGTTATCATGCTAAACTAGCAGTTGAATCAGCTACAAATTAAGCAACACCTCTGTGTTTTAGGTGGCAAATTCTGAGACGACACCGAGTGACAACTACTGTAAAATGTTGTATCATCTTCCGTCAGGGCAACTTCTACCGTTGTGAAAGCTACTTATAACGTTCGCTACACTGACGATAAAGTTGCATACACTCCGTTTTCTTAATGAATAGACGGGTGTTGTAAATCGGCCTACACAAGCACAAAACTTTTTGTCAACCTCTAAACTTAAAAGTCAGCTAGCTAAATTCCCGTATGTTTTAGAGCGTACTTGTTTGGCGCTTGTGAGGTGTGTTCCAGAATTCAAGTTTTTCAGAACCACATGCCTAATGAGTTCAATTTGAAAAGTGAAACCTTTAACGACCAGCTCTGAAGGTTGCTTTGTGATCTGTTGGGAGATCTGTGTTCAAAAATGTTGGTCAGAGTAGTGAGCCAAATGGTAATCAGCTCAAGGCACCAAAAACGCTTTCATGTTGTGCTTCGAAATTTGGGAGTCATTGTAGTGATTCGGTGTAAACCATGTGATCAAGAACAGCATCTATTATACACTCAGATCAAACAGTTGGAGGCATGCGGTGCTAACCTTGATGATAACTGATGATCTCTCATTTTATGGTTCATGTAGGTTTCTAATAGTCAGACTTGAACAGTCACATCAAGATGGAGTCTGGCAGTAGAGTAAAGCCAAAACTATCTAGAATTCATGCGCCGCTCTTAAAAAACAAAGATATATAAAAGACGTAGACTAACCCTGACAACACACTTGAAGTTGTCACAACGTTGAAGGAGATGTTCTCGGTACGAAATACAAATGATACAGCTTTACAAACGTCGAAGCACAAAAACGGGGGATACGTTCCTGAGCTGGCGGAAAATTTTTTCATGACGCGTCCAAGCCACCTTTCCGCTGACGCGAAAACCTCCGTGAACTCTAACGCTGACGGTCGATGAGCTGCAAATATTGACACGACGAAATTGCTTGCGCCTGACTAACCTCCATACTTCAGCGACCAGTGTGCACAAGCAACGATTTAGAGACTGAAAAAGCATTTGTAGTGTCAACACACATGTTAGGTGTTAGAAGGATTTGTGTATCTGCCTGGATGCGTTGATCTACAGCGGCAAAGACCCTAAAGGTTATTCCAGGCAAGCCTGCGAAGAAGACTTCAGAAGTGAAGGTCCTGACAGCCGACAAGAGGAAGAATCGAAGGAGGAAGGAGAGCTATGCCACCTATATCTACACGGTCCTCCGCCAAATGCGCCCGGACATGGTATCACCTCGAAGGGTATGTCAATCATGAATTTCTCCGTCAACATCTTTGAGCGCATTGCCGCTGAGTCCAGCCGCCTCACTCAGCACAACAGGTACTCGACCACCTCCAGCATAGAAATACAGGCTGTTGTCCGTCTTCTCGTCCCTGGTGAATCGGCCGTTTTCTCCAAACGTTAGCGACCAACGTGCACAAGCAATGATGTAGAGAATGAAACCGTCTTTGTGGTACATATTTAAAGGAATGTCTGCCGACACACAAGTTAGGAGCCAGAAAGATTTATGTATCTGGCCGTTTATTAGTATTTTCATC